ACCACCACCACCATTCTCCAGCCAGGCTCAAAGGAGACGCTCTAGGTTCCAGGGCGGGGAGAAGGCAGAAGAGGCTGACTACTCCTGGCCAGTGCCAGTTTGGAGAGCCGTCAGGAGGCCGAGGTCTTGCCAGCTGAGCGCAGCCCCCTGGGACAGAGCGGTCTGCAGGACGCCTGCTGCACGCACAGTGGACAGGCAAGGGCTCCAGGCCTACCTTTTCTCCCAGTTCCTTGTACTTGGGCTCCAGGTTCTTGCAGTGGCCACACCACGGCGCATAGAACTCGATCAGAACATCTTTGCCCTCCGCATTGACAACGTCCTCAAAGTTTTCAGCGACCACCACCTGCAGATTGCATTCCCTGGAGTAGCAGCCCCATGCGGTAGCCTGGGAGCCAGCCCAGAAGGCTCCACATGCATGGTCCCAGCTGGGGGCCACAGCCCCGTGGCCCTGGGCTGAGCAGCACTCACCTTCACAGGGCCATCATTGCTCTCGGGGATGGGCTCCGATTTCAGGTACTTCTTCAGGCTGCCAGCAAAGTAGTCCTGCAAAAATCTCTCCAGGGCTCTCCCATCGCGGCTACAAAGCAAACGCAGGTGACGCTTGAGAGCCAACGCGCCCACATGTCCCAAGACAGCTTGTCCTGCCCGCAGACAGCAGCATACCCAGAAGCCGCTTGGCTCCTGAGCCTCTGTGCCAAACCCAAGAGCCACATGGCCACTCAGCCTGCAGCCCATCTCCTGGGGGGGAAACGTGGGCAGCAGGCATGCCTGACCTACTGGGGGAACGGGCACCCCGCAATGTCTCACACCCTGGCTTTTCAGGAGAGTTCAGCCCTGTCATTTTCTACCCCAGTCTCCACCTCGTGTGTGACGGAATGAAACCGCAACCCCTCACGTAACCCTCGAGCCACATGGCCACTCAGCCTGCAGCCCATCTCCTGGGGGGGAAACGTGGGCAGCAGGCATGCCTGACCTACTGGGGGAACGGGCACCCCGCAATGTCTCACACCCTGGCTTTTCAGGAGAGTTCAGCCCTGTCATTTTCTACCCCAGTCTCCACCTCGTGTGTGACGGAATGAAACCGCAACCCCTCACGTAACCCTCCCACGGCCTGTAAGGGCCCACGGGCAGGCGCGGGCTACAGCCACCGCTGCTGCCTTGCCACACCACGCACAGCTCAGGTTTCCTCCCAGCAAGGCCAGCAGAGGGTTTGGCTGGGACTGGACCCGAGGGGGCACCAGGCCCAGGACTTACGAGAATTCCTCCTGCATGACGTATTTCTCTCCCTTGGCGGTTCGGATGGCAGCGACAGGAACCTCGCCTGTGCTGCTGTCCAGGCCAAACTCGGAAAGCTCATGGCCAAAAGTTTTTCGATTAGCAACAGCAAAATGCAGCACGTGTCCCGCATTCAGGAACTTCTGCGCCACCATCATCACTCTGAGGAAAGCAGAGGAAATGGTGCTGTTACGCCTACAGACGGCAGGAGCACCGCCTCTTCCCAGCTGATCGTGAGCAGCCAGAGACAAGAACGTGTGGGGGAGCTGCTGGGTCGGAGGTTCTGCAGAGCAGTAACAGGAAAGAACGACCCATGCTACTAAGCTGGGTGTAGCCTAGGGATCTCCCAATGCATAGTGCAAGGAGCCTCTCTTCTGCATTTCATGTCCCCGAGCCCCTCCGTCAGCTCCGCCCAAGCAGGGCCCTGGCGGCGGCAGCGAGAGGAGTACAAAGCATGGCAGTGAGCATGAGCCTCAGTGTGCTGACAGAGCTCCTGAGAAGGGTGGCCTCAGCTGCACACGCGCGAGCTGGCCGCCCCGCTATGGAAACACCCACTGCTTGCTGCAGACGCATGAGCTGGGAGAGCCAGGCTTCCGGAGTCAGGAGGGGCCTGTAGCGTCTGGCTGCAGAGGCAGCATGCCCTGCGGCCAGAGCCATGCGAAGGCAGATTTTACCGGAGTCCAGCACGATTCCCGAGTTTGCCCACGGGAGGCAGCGTTCTGCTACGCAAACAGGACCCACCCAAACCCGTGCGCAGCCGAGGGGAGAGACTGGAGGCGGATCCACCTTCCTCTGCTCACCTGTTGCGCCAGTAATTGGAGCCCTTGGCATTCTTCTCGTAGTCCACGTCATAATACGCCACCAACAAGTCCTTCCCTTGGATCAGGTCTTTGTTATCTTCTGTCATATGTGGACAGATGCCAAAGCTAGCAAGAAAAGCAGCGATTAGAACCTGCAGCACACCAAGCCCCCAGGCCTGAACTGCTGAGATCCAGCAGGCCTGAGAAGCGTTTTCTTCCAGGTAGCTCATTGTGCGTCAGGTCCATCCAGATTCTGCTACCGCGGCTGGCCAGACAGTCACACCTGGGTTTGGATCAGATTAGGGACCTACTCTTGTGCATTACAAACACTGACCTACGCTGAGCGAGCAAGCCAGGGGCCAGCAGCCACTGAGTGCAGAGAACCCAGCGGAGCGTGAACGACGGGCGGCAGCACTAGCTATCCACAAGCCACCCACCCTAGGCATCACTCACATGTTCTCCTGGATAAACTTCTTGACCTTGCCACTGGTGATTGTGTCCTCGGTGTACCGCAAAGTGCTGTCCTCAAACTTGTTTGCCAGGTGTTGGGGACGGAACAAGACAAGACCCCTGAGCAGAGATGGGGAACAGGTGAAACTGAGGAACTAGCAGCCTCAGGGCAAGTGAGAGGCAGAGTTGTAGACCCCGACCCACTACAGCCTTTCGAAGTACACTACGGGCTCATCCACGGGCTGCCCAAAGCTACCTGTGGCCCAGGTTTGGGCAAGATGTCTGGCATCCCCCTCCTCCGCCCCATGGTGACAAGGGAAGACCAGGGCTGGTCATAAAGGAAAAACACAGTCCAGGTCCTCCTACAGTAGCAACTTTCCATGGAAGGCAGGAATTGACACAAACAGCTCAGCAGGCCCCATGGTGATTTTACAGGTGTTTCCAGGTAAGCGTCTCTCCCCCATCCCTCCCCAGAAACACGACCCACTCGCAGTAGCTCCTGGTTCTGGGGGCTCAAGGGCCCAAGAGCAGGATGGAGCCAGGCTGGTCCAAGGCCGTTCAAGGACCCAGCAGGGCTAATTTTAGAGTAACACAGCTGCCCTCATTTCCCACAGCATAACCATGGGCCAGAGCCACTTACTCGCCATCTGGCTCATATTTCTGGATCAGCTCCTCCTCGCTGGTGTGTGCAAAGCGGTAGCTCTCTCGCAGGTTGCTAGCTGCTTTCATGAACTCTGTATACGCGTCACCAAATGCATCTTTGAAGAAGCCTGGAGCAAAGCAAGACAGTGACCCTGCAGAATCTCTGCCTCAGCAGACACCAGTTCGCTAACTGACTTGACCCTGCCTGCCTAAGAATCTGTCCCTTCCGAACGGGCTCTTCTCTGCCCAGCTCAACCTCCTCTGTTCGGCAAGGAGCGGACCAGCATTTCCTTCCTCCTGTGTGCCAGCAGGAGCCAGACCAATCCCCAGCCGCAGCCCTCGCCCTCCCCAGGAGCCAGCTGAGCGCGACAGACCGTTAACCGGTAAGCTGAGGCTTACTGGTTACACTCCAACACCACTAACCCTGACTCTGAAGGGAAAAGCCAACCCTTTCTGCACACCAAGGCAGTATTCTCAGCTAATCTCACCGCTTGCCTCCTCAGATATACTGGTGCTGGGCTATTTCCCTCCAGGCAGCTTTGGCACACCTCTGCTAAAGCAGAGTTCCCTCAATGGCTGGGTCGTAGATCGGAGCCAGACCCTGACATTTAGCAAGCCCCTTCATGGTACCCCAAAGATTAAGAAACAGGGATCTAAAATCCTTACCCAGTCAGAGTGGGTGTCAGTGCACGAGTGTTTTGGGGTGAAATCAGGATACTCTGTGCAGGGCATCTTGCGATATAATCCTGGATGTTCACATGTGGCTCCAAGAGCCCAAAGCAATGAGCTTTGAGTGGCGAGTGGGTGGGAGGGGACTGCTAAGTGGGTTCGCCCAAGGAGGGGTAGGTCTCTTGCTATTTACAAGCTTGAGAGCAGTAGCAACTTGCTTTGGAAGTCCTTGGCAGACTTGGAAGGCAGGACTCGCCCAGGACGAGGTCTCCAATGTGGCGTAGAGGCTGTGTTGGCCCGTGCTACTCACCCACCACAGAAGCATCTTTGTCACGGATGAATTTCTCAAAGTCTGCCACAGAGCGGAGAGCCACTGAGGCAGGCCCTGCCTGTTTCTTGAGGTGACTGACAATCCCATCTGAGAAAGGAGGAAGAGAAGTACACAGCAGCGTTAGAATGATGCCTTTTATGGACTTCTAGGCAGATTCCAAGCTTCTAGGTGCAGAAACAATCCCTGTCCACCTGCCTGTTCAGCTAAACAGGACCCCAGGCAAGTCTCAAAGCAAACAGGTACGCATCCCAATCGCACTGTGGAACTGCTATGAAAGCCAGTTGAGCTGGAAGAGATCCATAGAGGACTCCCAGAGTACGAACACCCCCCGCAGGACCTGTTCACCTCTTACTCCTTCTCAACGAGTTACATACCTTGCAGGCTTTGCAACAAGCTTAACTGGATTTTAACCAGCTAAATGTTGTGATGAGCATCGCAGCATACGGGGTTACATCAACAGCGTCTTTGCATATATTCTGAATTCTGACCTTGGAGCACTAAGCTAGCAGCTCTCAACCTTTCCAGACTGTTGTACCCCTTTCAGGAGTCAGATTGTGTCTTGCATGCCCTAAATTTCACCCTGCTTAAGAACTAGTTGCTTGAAAAATTAGACCAAATACAAAAATGTTACAGCCCACTTACTGAAAAATGCGTACTCACTTTTACCTATAATAAATCAATTGGAATATTGTACAGGCAGTCCCCGAGTTACGCGGATCCAACTTATGTCGGATCCACAGTTACGAACGGAGCTTTTCTCGCCCCGGAGGACGGGAGCGGCAGGACGCCCAGATGCGCCGTGGTCCCGCCGCCCGTGTCCTCCAGGGTGAGAAAAGCTGCTCCACGTCTCCCTGGTCTGCCGGGGGAGGGGGAACCCCCCCAGCAGACCAGAGAGACGGGGAGCAAAGCCTCGAGGACACCGGCAGCAGTACAGCCGCAGCTGGCCCCCCCAGCAGACCAGGGAGATGCGGAGCAAAGCCGCGGAGGATGCGGGCGGGACCGCGGTGCGTCTCGGCGGTCCCGCCACCCGCGTCTCCTTGGTATGCTGGGGGGCGGGGGCGCAGCTAGTGCACCCCCCCACCCCAGCAGACCAGGCTTTTCTCACCGACGACGCCTGGGGTAGAGCAGCTGGGGCGCTGCCGCGTTGGTCCCGCACCGCTGTTCCTCAGCGCTACTGGACCAACCCAGCAGCACCCCAGCTGCTCTGCCCCAGGCGTCCCCAAGTCAGCCGCTGCTGAAACTGACCAGCGCTGACTACAGGAACCTGGAGGCAGAGTTGGGGACACCTGGGGTAGAGCAGCTGGGGTGCTGCCGGGTTGGTCCCCGCAGCGCTGAGGTGCGGCGCTGCAGGGACCAACCCGGTAGCGCCCCAGCTGCTCTGTCCCAGGCGTCCAAATTCAGCCGCTGTTGAAACTGATCAGCGGCTGATTCCAGGAAGCCCAGGGCAAAGCAACTCTGCCTCGGGCTTCCTGTAGTCAGCCACTGGTCAGTTTCAGCAGCGGCTGAATCTGGACGCCAGTTCCGACTTACATACAGATTCAACTTAAGAACAAACCTACAGTCCCTATCTTGTACGTAACCCGGGGACTGCCTGTACTTACATTTCAATGTACAGGACACAGACCAGTAAAAACAAATTGCTGTCTGTGGAAAATCTTAGTTTCTACTGACTTTGCTAGTGATTTTCATGTATGTGCTCTAGCACTAGGCAAATATCTAGCTAGGTTGATACACCCACTCTGCCTTCCTCCTGGAGTGTGCGTGCCCCTGGTTGCTTAGTGCAGTGGTTCTCAACAAGGAGCCTTGGGCAGCAGGTGCACTGCAGTGGAATTTAGACACTAGGCAGATGCCTTTTTGTACCAGGCTAATGAAGTTAACACCTGTTCCCTCCTTCCCACGCTTTCAGCCCTCCCACAGCTGGCCACATGCTGCAGGCAAGGTAGGCTTGCAGTGTAGGGATGTTACAATTCGATCAATCAACTAATTGAATACTCAATGGAATTTCCATTAACTATTCAATTACAGACAGTCCCCGGGTTACGTACAAGATAGGGACTGTAGGTTTGTTCTTAAGTTGAATCTGTATGTAAGTCGGAACTGGCGTCCAGATTCAGCCGCTGCTGAAACTGACCAGTGGCTGACTACAGGAATCCCTCAGTCCTTTATTCTCAAGCTGAGGTGCCTGCTGAGAAAAGCCGCTCCGCGTCTCCCTGGTCTGCTGGGGGGAAGCAGCTAGTGCGGGGTTGCCTCACCCCGTTTGTAAGTAGGGATCCGATGTAAGTCGGATCCATGTAACCCGGGGACTGCTTGTAGTCGATAAGGGCATATCCGCTTTGAAATGTAGCAAGAGCCTGCCCAGCTGTTGCTACATTTCAAAAGGCGGCAGTGCCATGCTGGGGACTCCTGTACATTTCAGGAGCTGGAGGGAACCAGCTTTTAAGCCGGCTCTCCCCTCAACACTCCCTCCCCTTGCTGCCTCTTTCTGATAGAGGCGGCAAGGAGGGGGAAGCAACCAGTCAACTAGTCGCTTACATCCCTACTGCAGTGCCTCATCTTTACCAGGAACCCGTTACATACTCAGCTCTCCAGGGCTTCCATCCAATCTCCCTATACTTTTTCCACCATGTGTGGAATTAATTTTGTTCTGTGCATCAAGGCATGTGTGGATGTGCACCACCAGCAGAAACACATGCATGGGCACTGTGCTAATCAGCTGGGTGGCATTTGAATCTCTCCTGAGCAGCTGCCCCAGTGTTCAGCTTTCCGGAGGAACGTAAAACCCCGTTTCATTGGGTAACTGGTTCAAAATCACATTGAACGGGTGGGCTGCTCTGGCCACTGGGCTGGAATAGCCCCTGCCTGCAGTGAGCCCCTCCTGATTAACTGGCTCACCATCCACATCCCTCGTCTACCGGGAACACGGCTTCCACCCCATCTCCCTCGCCCCTCACAGACAAGTCAAGCCTAGTAACTCTTGGCCACGCAGCCAGGATACTCCCACCTCCATGGCAACAGGTCAAGCTCAATCAAGGAGCAGGCCGTTCCTTACCAGCTGTCCTGGGACCATCATAGGCCCCTGCCTCTTCACCATCTCTAAAAATCTTCAGGGTAGGGTAGCCACTGACACCGTATTTGTTACAGGTGTTTGAGTTTGCTGTACAGTCAACCTGAGGAAGAGAGATACTGCTCCTTAACACCGCGACAGTCCTGCAGTGTCAGCACGCGGCACAAATGAGAACCTGGGCACATGGCAGCTTCCTTACGGAGCAGAGAAACACAGAAAGATCTGCAGCAGATGGTACCCATGGTCTGGAAGCTTATAGGCCAGATTTCTGCACCCACGGGGTGGCTGGGAAGCCTGAAGACAGTTAGCCTGGCTAACAGGGCTAGGGAAGCACATTCTGGAAGACAGACACACGGCCATGCACCCTGACGTTCAAGCAGCCAGTGTAACAGTGCCTAGAGATGGCTAAAACAGAAGAAAGCCCAGCGGGGCCAAGAGGAGTCAATGGGAACAGGGCGGATGAGAAGACAACTACAGCGAGGCACTGGCTTAGTGGATTAGGGCTCCTTTTACTTCTTAACCTCCTCCTCATGAGAGAGCTTCCCTTGAAAGCAGCCCCCCGCCCCCCGGCAGTGCTGTATGCACATCTCTGCGTGGGCCAGCTGGAATAAGCTAAGTCGGGCCTTCGAGGGCTCCTCCGTCACCAGTTAAGAGAGAGGGAGTTTGCTTGCATGCAGACTCCTTCCTGGTATTCTGGATTCTGCAGGGGGAAGGGCAGGAGAGGCAAGCACGTTAGAAGGCCTCCCAGCCCCCTACATCTGTGGTAAGTGACACTCTGTCATTTACCACAGATACACGCCCCTCGTCTGTCTCGAGTCCTGGGTACTTGTGTGCAAAAAAGTGTATTTCATTCCAACAGGAAAGGGACCGGCTTTGCAGCTTGCCTTGTGTAGGAACTGACCCCTCCTATCCAAGAGCGATGGATGCCCAGAGCTCTCCAGGCAGCTGCAGCCCTGCAAATCTGGGGAGATCTGCTTTAGAGCTGCAGGGCTCCGCAGCTGCAGCTGTGAATGCAGAAAGCCACAGCTCCTTTCTGCAGCTGCGGGTCCAGGGCTCTACAGCCAGCACGCTACTTGTGCAACGCTGCCTTCCGTGGGGGGAAATCTGCATAAGGTCTGGGGCAGGACCCAGGCCTCAAGGCCAGTACCACTCCTCAGATCCTCCTAATGGACCAGCGGGCAGCCCCCTCTGGCAGGGCTGCAGGAGGGGAGCTCCAAGGGTCTCCAGCCTGGGCAGTGCAGTGGAGAGGACAGCACAGCAAAAGCTGCTGTGTTGCTCTGCTTCCTGCAGCTCCCACTGCTGCCGGGAGTGCAGGGGAGCCTAGCCCCTGCTGCCACCCTGCGCCAGGCCCCCAGTAACCTCCAAGGCCACATCCCTTGGGGGTAGGGATGCAATGGGGAAAGGGCAAGGTAGGGGCAGGAAGAGGTGGAGCAAGGGCTAGGGGAAGCCACAGGGACTCACAGAGGACTGCTGTAGACCATCCCCTCAAAATGGAGCAGAACAGAAACCCACACCCTCACATTTATGAAGCAGAGAAAATTAAGTCAGACCCCAAATCTCCATGGAAACCCTGGAAGCACTCGTCAGGGCACACCCCCAAGCACAGGTATCAAATCTGCCTGCGCCAAACACCATTTAAATCCACCACAAAACATTCCAGCCCAATCAGAGCAGGGAACCTGCCACAGAACAGTTAACACAGGCCAGGTCCTCACCTTTACGAGAGGGACAATTCCTTTCAGTCTGGTAGCAGCAGCCTCATACTCAGGGGCTAGTCGTTTGCAGTGCCCACACCTGAAAAGGAAGTGCCAGATTACAAAGAAATGCCTCCCCACAAGTGGGCAGATGCCACGTTTCCAGTTACAAAGGATTGCCACAGGGCCACGGACAACTGACCCTAACAGTCTGCACAGAAACAATGAGGCTTCCAAGGATTTTCAATTTGGAGCTCAGACAAAAACTGAGGGAAAGAAATGGGGAAATCACATGGACTTTAATCCTCCCCATATTCTTGAGCTCCACTCTTGGAGCAGAGTGGGAAGAAAACAACATGTTGACCTTCCCAGAAATATTACTGTATTTGCTAGACTATATGCCAGCGTGTTCCTCTCTTCCTGAAGCTGCTCAACAACGCTAACTTAATTCTAGTCAGCTCAGTGGGCAGGAGTTAAGTCTGAAATCAAGTATTAATCAATCATCCAGTCAAGATATTTAGCTACTGCAAATGGACCTGCCATGTCCTCACTTTCTGTTCATTTCAGGCTAAGAGACGCAGGAATAAGACTTAAGATACACACACTAATACCATAACTTAATTTTCAGTACACTAGCTATAGGATCACAATAACATTTGATGCATAATACAGGCCTGAAACACATGGCAAGTTGTATTTGCAGCTCTTAGACAGTGAACTGCTTTCTAGTTTACAAACTTCTGTAGTTTTCAACAGCAGATACATTAAATTGATTTGAATAATCCTGGCAGTTGAGTATCAGAGGGGGAGCCGTGTTAGTGTGAATCTGCAAAAGCGACGAGGAGTCCTGTGGCACCTTATAGACTAACTGAAGTGTAGGAGCATAAGCTTTCGTGGGCAAAGACCCACTTCGTCAGATGCATGTGCTCCTACACTTCAGTTAGTCTATAAGGTGCCACAGGACTCCTCGTCGCCTGGCAGTTGAGTAACGCCATACAGAACTGAAAGTAAAAATAAACCTCTATTTTATCATCCCAGCTAATCAGTAACACACACTAACAAAATGGCGACATTAGTCAAACATCTTCTGTTGCCAATAACATTATCCATGACACATTATAGCTTTCCATCTTTTGGCAAGGTTTACTGAGATATATATTGCAAAATCCAGTGGCACAGAACAAAGGGGACTATATCCATGATACCTAGTTCAAAAGTTCCAAGAAATCCTAGGTTTCTTTTGCTCTCTTCCTCAAACCAAAATGAAAGCCTGTCCATTTCTCCTTACTTCAAAAGAATCCATATAAGTGACCAAGATTTGCTGCTCCACTTGTCACAAACAAGGTATTAATACATTGGTTTGGCTACATAAATGTACTCAGTGAGTTGCTGACATTCACTACTCCATAGAGTCAAGGGGATGTTTTGCTTTTAATATGTGAAGATTAGGAAATACTCATATTTCTGAAGCTGCATACCAATTCAGAAGTATAAGGCTATGTCTACACTGCCAGCTTCTTGCACAAGCACTCTTTTGCGGAAGCATTCTTGTGCAAAAACTCTTTCACAAGAGAGAGTCTACACCGCCATGTGCTTTTGCGCAAGAGCATCCATGGCAGTGTAGACGCTCTCTTGCACAAGAAAGCTCTGATGGCCATGTTAACCATCGGGCTTTCTTGCGCAAGAAATTCATGTTGCCTGGCTACACTGGCCTCTTGTGGAAGAGCTCTTGCGCAAGAAGGCTTATTCCTCGTGGGGAGAGGAATAACTCCTCCCGAAGAGTTCTGAGGAAGTGGGTCTCTGCCCACGAAAGCTTATGCTCCAACACTTCAGTTAGTCTATAAGGTGCCACAGGACTCCTCGCCAGACTAACACGGCTACCACTCAGATACTCTTCCAGAAGAGGCCCTGTTTTCCGACGCCGTCCTGTACATGTACTGCTGGAAGAACGCTCTGTGGTAGGCAGCCGGCAGGTTTCTGTGGAAGAAGCCCGCATCGGCCACCTGCCCCGGGGAGCTGGTCGCTATGGCAACCGGTGTGGGCCCGCATCGGCCACCTGCCCCGGGGAGCTGGTCGCTATGGCAACCGGTGTGGGCCCGCATCGGCCACCTGCCCCGGGGAGCTGGTCGCTATGGCAACCGGTGTGGGCCCGCATCGGCCACCTGCCCCGGGGAGCTGGTCGCTATGGCAACCGGTGTGGGCCCGCATCGGCCACCTGCCCCGGGGAGCTGGTCGCTATGGCAACCGGTGTGGGCCCGCATCGGCCACCTGCCCCGGGGAGCTGGTCGCTATGGCAACCGGTGTGGGCCCGCATCGGCCACCTGCCCCGGGGAGCTGGTCGCTATGGCAACCGGTGTGGGCCCGCATCGGCCACCTGCCCCGGGGAGCTGGTCGCTATGGCAACCGGTGTGGGCCCGCATCGGCCACCTGCCCCGGGGAGCTGGTCGCTATGGCAACCGGTGTGGGCCCGCATCGGCCACCTGCCCCGGGGAGCTGGTCGCTATGGCAACCGGTGTGGGCCCGCATCGGCCACCTGCCCCGGGGAGCTGGTCGCTATGGCAACCGGTGTGGGCCCGCATCGGCCACCTGCCCCGGGGAGCTGGTCGCTATGGCAACCGGTGTGGGCCCGCATCGGCCACCTGCCCCGGGGAGCTGGTCGCTATGGCAACCGGTGTGGGCCCGCATCGGCCACCTGCCCCGGGGAGCTGGTCGCTATGGCAACCGGTGTGGGCCCGCATCGGCCACCTGCCCCGGGGAGCTGGTCGCTATGGCAACCGGTGTGGGCCCGCATCGGCCACCTGCCCCGGGGAGCTGGTCGCTATGGCAACCGGTGTGGGCCCGCATCGGCCACCTGCCCCGGGGAGCTGGTCGCTATGGCAACCGGTGTGGGCCCGCATCGGCCACCTGCCCCGGGGAGCTGGTCGCTATGGCAACCGGTGTGGGCCCGCATCGGCCACCTGCCCCGGGGAGCTGGTCGCTATGGCAACCGGTGTGGGCCCGCATCGGCCACCTGCCCCGGGGAGCTGGTCGCTATGGCAACCGGTGTGGGCCCGCATCGGCCACCTGCCCCGGGGAGCTGGTCGCTATGGCAACCGGTGTGGGCCCGCATCGGCCACCTGCCCCGGGGAGCTGGTCGCTATGGCAACCGGTGTGGGCCCGCATCGGCCACCTGCCCCGGGGAGCTGGTCGCTATGGCAACCGGTGTGGGCCCGCATCGGCCACCTGCCCCGGGGAGCTGGTCGCTATGGCAACCGGTGTGGGCCCGCATCGGCCACCTGCCCCGGGGAGCTGGTCGCTATGGCAACCGGTGTGGGCCCGCATCGGCCACCTGCCCCGGGGAGCTGGTCGCTATGGCAACCGGTGTGGGCCCGCATCGGCCACCTGCCCCGGGGAGCTGGTCGCTATGGCAACCGGTGTGGGCCCGCATCGGCCACCTGCCCCGGGGAGCTGGTCGCTATGGCAACCGGTGTGGGCCCGCATCGGCCACCTGCCCCGGGGAGCTGGTCGCTATGGCAACCGGTGTGGGCCCGCATCGGCCACCTGCCCCGGGGAGCTGGTCGCTATGGCAACCGGTGTGGGCCCGCATCGGCCACCTGCCCCGGGGAGCTGGTCGCTATGGCAACCGGTGTGGGCCCGCATCGGCCACCTGCCCCGGGGAGCTGGTCGCTATGGCAACCGGTGTGGGCCCGCATCGGCCACCTGCCCCGGGGAGCTGGTCGCTATGGCAACCGGTGTGGGCCCGCATCGGCCACCTGCCCCGGGGAGCTGGTCGCTATGGCAACCGGTGTGGGCCCGCATCGGCCACCTGCCCCGGGGAGCTGGTCGCTATGGCAACCGGTGTGGGCCCGCATCGGCCACCTGCCCCGGGGAGCTGGTCGCTATGGCAACCGGTGTGGGCCCGCATCGGCCACCTGCCCCGGGGAGCTGGTCGCTATGGCAACCGGTGTGGGCCCGCATCGGCCACCTGCCCCGGGGAGCTGGTCGCTATGGCAACCGGTGTGGGCCCGCATCGGCCACCTGCCCCGGGGAGCTGGTCGCTATGGCAACCGGTGTGGGCCCGCATCGGCCACCTGCCCCGGGGAGCTGGTCGCTATGGCAACCGGTGTGGGCCCGCATCGGCCACCTGCCCCGGGGAGCTGGTCGCTATGGCAACCGGTGTGGGCCCGCATCGGCCACCTGCCCCGGGGAGCTGGTCGCTATGGCAACCGGTGTGGGCCCGCATCGGCCACCTGCCCCGGGGAGCTGGTCGCTATGGCAACCGGTGTGGGCCCGCATCGGCCACCTGCCCCGGGGAGCTGGTCGCTATGGCAACCGGTGTGGGCCCGCATCGGCCACCTGCCCCGGGGAGCTGGTCGCTATGGCAACCGGTGTGGGCCCGCATCGGCCACCTGCCCCGGGGAGCTGGTCGCTATGGCAACCGGTGTGGGCCCGCATCGGCCACCTGCCCCGGGGAGCTGGTCGCTATGGCAACCGGTGTGGGCCCGCATCGGCCACCTGCCCCGGGGAGCTGGTCGCTATGGCAACCGGTGTGGGCCCGCATCGGCCACCTGCCCCGGGGAGCTGGTCGCTATGGCAACCGGTGTGGGCCCGCATCGGCCACCTGCCCCGGGGAGCTGGTCGCTATGGCAACCGGTGTGGGCCCGCATCGGCCACCTGCCCCGGGGAGCTGGTCGCTATGGCAACCGGTGTGGGCCCGCATCGGCCACCTGCCCCGGGGAGCTGGTCGCTATGGCAACCGGTGTGGGCCCGCATCGGCCACCTGCCCCGGGGAGCTGGTCGCTATGGCAACCGGTGTGGGCCCGCATCGGCCACCTGCCCCGGGGAGCTGGTCGCTATGGCAACCGGTGTGGGCCCGCATCGGCCACCTGCCCCGGGGAGCTGGTCGCTATGGCAACCGGTGTGGGCCCGCATCGGCCACCTGCCCCGGGGAGCTGGTCGCTATGGCAACCGGTGTGGGCCCGCATCGGCCACCTGCCCCGGGGAGCTGGTCGCTATGGCAACCGGTGTGGGCCCGCATCGGCCACCTGCCCCGGGGAGCTGGTCGCTATGGCAACCGGTGTGGGCCCGCATCGGCCACCTGCCCCGGGGAGCTGGTCGCTATGGCAACCGGTGTGGGCCCGCATCGGCCACCTGCCCCGGGGAGCTGGTCGCTATGGCAACCGGTGTGGGCCCGCATCGGCCACCTGCCCCGGGGAGCTGGTCGCTATGGCAACCGGTGTGGGCCCGCATCGGCCACCTGCCCCGGGGAGCTGGTCGCTATGGCAACCGGTGTGGGCCCGCATCGGCCACCTGCCCCGGGGAGCTGGTCGCTATGGCAACCGGTGTGGGCCCGCATCGGCCACCTGCCCCGGGGAGCTGGTCGCTATGGCAACCGGTGTGGGCCCGCATCGGCCACCTGCCCCGGGGAGCTGGTCGCTATGGCAACCGGTGTGGGCCCGCATCGGCCACCTGCCCCGGGGAGCTGGTCGCTAGTGACTTTATTCAACACTGGTGAGGCCACATCTAGACTGGCAAGATTGCCAGCTGTCTACACTGGCCGCTTGCATTTTCCCAAGGGCAAAAGTACGTTTGCACAAAGCTTTTGCACACAAGGGCCAGTGGCGACAGCTCAGATTTGTTTTCCGCAAAAAAGCCTCGATTGCGAAAATGGCAATTGGGGCTTTTTTGCAGAAAAGCGCGTCTAGATTGGCACGGACGCTTTTCCACAAAAAGTGCTTTTGCGGAAAAGCGTCCTGCCAATCTAGACGCTCTGTTCCGAAAATGCTTTTAACGGAAATGTTTTCCATTAAAAGCATTTGCGGAAAATCATGCCCGTCTAGACGTAGCCCTGGAGTGTTGCCTCCTGTTCTGGGCCCCCACTACAGAGGGCAATGAAAATGATGAGGGGGTTGGAGCACATGACCTACCAGGAGAGGCGGAGGGATTTGGGTTTGTTTAATCAGCAGAAGCAAAGAGTGAGGGGGGATTTGAGAGCAGCCTGAAGGGAGGTTCCAGAGAGGCTGGAGAGAGGCTGTTCTCAGTGGTGGCAGAACAAGGAGCGATGGTCTCAGGTTGCAGTGGGGGAGGTCTAGGTTGGAGATTAGTATTTCCGTAGGAGGGTGGGGAAGCAC